ATTTGTTTATAACGTATGACGTCATATAACACATCAAACATATCTCTGCCTGTTATAGAGACGAAAAGGATAGTGCGTTACTATTTCGTAACATTGCGTGACTTCCGGTTGAGTTAATAATATCAAATGTAATATAAGATGATTTTGTAACATAATAGAAAAGGACATTGAAAAATCAAGTTTGGGTACATGTGAAATCGAACATCGATCCCGAAATATTTACAGGAAATCGCGAGTTATCGAACATCGGAATTATCGGAAACAACACTGCCGTTGTTAAAATGGTGAGTCAGTTCAGTTAGCTTGGCCTTGCCCGTTTTATTGGAATGGTTCGGCTAATACTTTGGTTCCCTTTAAAATTTCCGTTTTGTTAATATATGAAGCCGGACGGACCCACTTGCAGAAATCTCTCCTCAAGGCAACCAGTATCTCGTCAGCCTGGTCTCTCATATAAACATAGCAAAAATTTTATAAGGACACAGGGTATAAGCCGAGCCAGCCGGATAAAGCAGGCAAGCTGGGCTAATCGGGCTGGCTCACTTCAAATAAACAGGCCTTTAACCCTATGTTCACATTATGCAAGATATCTTTGTTCCGGCAAGAAAACCAAACCCGGGATAGGGCTTTTGCTCACACTCAAGAACTGTGATTTCGGCGCCATTTCTGGAAAGGAGCCAAGCTGCGCCTTACCGATTTCGAAGGGTAGCCTCGCATATAGTCTACGTAGTGGCAGTTCTTTGATGTGTGTTTTTTTTCTTCTTTTGTGGTTCGCAAAATAAGAATTACAGCCAAGCGATACGCTGAACCAAGGTCGAAAAAGAAAACGATGAGAGAGGGGCGTGTGTAAAAATGATAAATGGTGTAGCAAGAAATCAGAAATGCAAGTGCGGGTGAGAAAATATAAAAATAGTGGGTTAGCATTTTTGTAATGTTTTATATTTTTTTTTTAGCGATTTGTACTAGGTGTCGAAAGAACCTGACAAAACAAGCAAATACCCCTGAAAGCAGTCTGCCACAATCAGATTTTGACGAACTTACAGAGCATTTAGGTGAGCTTACTCTGGTAAGTAAGTAAGTAAGTAAGTAAGTAAGTAAGTAAGACATTCTATGATTTATGTCTACAAACTACAAAGATCTTTCCTTGTAATATTAGAAACCATACGCAGCTAGTTTGAATCCAATTTTGAGTACATTCAAACTGTTTTATGTTTGTACTGACAACAATGAAACTGGAAGAAGAAGTATTTTGGGGTCTTACTTCAGACTTTTTAATTTTTTTTTTTTTTTAATTTTGTGAAATTTTAGGCAGAAACTGCAGCAGCCCAAGTAATTCATGTTGATGAAAGAAGAGAGAGTATATTCATCCCAGAATCGGATTTGGAAGGTTCTGATTTTGAAAACACACCGCATAGAAGCCAAAAAGACGCGGCAAAAGAGCCTTTAAAAAAGTTAAACAATTTTTTAGCCTCACGCTTTTTAAACGCAACTCACTGGAGCACGAGAAGACAAATTTTGTCCATCTTGGCAGATAAACTATCGCTTAAGGAACTGACGCATTACATTCCCGGGGTGACGCCTTACAGATTTAACATCGCGCGGCATCATAGACTGTTACATGGTAGAGGTGCGATCGTACCTACTGATATCACTAGGTGTATGAAGGTTGATTTCGCCAAAGTTGATCATTTTCTCGACTTTATTACAAGTTCTCATATTGTACAAGACATGCCATTTGGAGAAAAGATGCTGAAACTTTCAACAGGGGAGGTGATTAAAACACCTAATGTCGTACGGATGCTAATACCAGAACGGATAACACAACAGTATTTTCAGTTTTGTACCGAGACTAATTTCACTCCGATGAGCAAGCGCACACAACTCCGAGTACTAGACGTTTGCTCTGCGTCAGTGCGCATCTCTCTGCAGGGCTTGGATAACTTCTCTGCACAAGGCAGTAAGGCAATAGAAGATCTTAGCGAGATAGTAGACAAGATAGCAGATCAAGCTAAGTCACAAGCCTGGGCCAAGGAAATGAAACAAACACTTCGGTCTGCCAAACAATATCTGCAGTCTGATTACAAGGTAAGGCTATCTTAATATTTGGTTATTCTTTTAGTAGATTATTAACTTTGTACTTTGGCTGGATTGACGCTAAATTTAAGCGAATTGGTCATAAACATGAAAGTAAACTTTCTCTGGCTGCATTGTACTAACTAGTATTGAGGCTAAACCTCGAAACATTGATTAAGCGGAAGCTATCTTCACTTTGCGCCCTTTAAGTGGTTCGGACAAGCTTTAATAAGTTTCAAACTTCTTTTACCACTCTTAAAAGATTTTACCCTAAAGCAGCTGATATTAATAACGAAAAATCATAGTAAAAATTATGATGATAGTGATAACTATGATGATGACCACGATAATAATCTTTCACATTTTAGCTGCACGTTACAATGGAATCAGAAGTTGCCGATCACTGTTTAACGTTTTCCCTAAGTGATCCTAAAAATAACTGTTTTCAAGGAAAGTGTAACCATAACCACGATGAGGTCTGCTACGAATGCAATAAATTAACCGGGGTTCTGTCTACCATAAAAGAAGCGTGCGCAGAACTTAAGTCTGAAGAAGAAAGAGATGACAGTATCTGTTTAGTGGCTCAAGCTGAAAAGGACATTTTGGCATGGAAAGCTCACCAACTCCGAACAGTTAACCAGGATCAAGCAAAACATGACGTGTTACATGTCATATTTCGGAGTTCAGCATTATTAGTTATGGACTGGGCGATGAAATTCTTACCGGGAAAGTTTCGCGAATCACAGTGTGAATGGTTCGCCAAACGTGGTATTCCATGGCACATCACAGTGGCTTTTACAAGATCAGAAGCAAATGCCCCACTTGAGAAGCTCACTTTTGTCCACCTGTTTCAGAGTTGCCCTCAGGATAGCGTTGCAGTAACCGCCATTTTACAAGATGTTATCGAGACGTTAAAGGAGCGTCGGCCACAATTGCAAAAAGTGTATTGCAAACAGGACAACGCAGGATGTTATCATTGTGGGTCAACAGTTGTAGGAAGCAGGTTGAACAGTCTTTCTGATGTCAAGGTGGAGAGGTTCGACTTTTCAGATCCACAAGGGGGCAAGGGAGAAGCCGACCGCCAGGCTGCAACAATTAAAGGACATATCAATGTGTACTTAAACGAGGGGCACGATGTGAACAACGCTGCACAGATGAAAGAAGCCATTGAATCAAATGGCGGTATTCCTGGCATTATTGTGAAGTATGTGAAGCCTCCCGAACTATCTGCTGGCAAAAACGTGGTCAAATGGGACGGAATTAGTAGGCTTAATAACTTCCAGTTTTGTCCAAATGGTATCACAACATGGAAGGCTTACAACATCGGGCCCAGAAAGCTGGTACCATCGAAGGACATTCAAACCGATGGTATCTTTCCTGCTACACTTGAAGTTTTGGAGCCTCCTGACACCCGCTCTCAGCAGTCAAGCTTTAGAAAAATCAATCCTAGAAAGGAAGTACAGCAAAAATCTTCGTCCGAACAACGGCTGAGTAGTCCTGACCAGCAAGAGACAGCAGGACAAGACATGGATGTAGAAAAAGAGAAAGAGGAAGTAAGTGGCCTTTTTACCTGCCCAGAAGATGGGTGTATTCAGACATTCCAGCGGTCCTCAAGTTTGCAAGCACATTTAGACTAAGGAAAGCACAAGCGCGCGCTCGAAAAAGAAACACTGTTTGACAAAGCCAGAAAAGGATACACTGCGAGAATAACTGGAGAGCAAACGAAATTTCCAATTTTTGGTTTCTACGCGGCATCAAAAATCTCAGTTGATAAACTACACTCCACACTTGAGATGGGATGGGCTCTTAAAACAACAAGGAGTAGAACCCATTTTACAGAAGAACAAAGAAAGTTCCTCACAGAACAGTTTCTCATCGGGGAGGAGTGTGGTAAAAAGGTAGATCCACAACAGGTATCGCAAGAAATGCGAAGAGTGAGGGACGAAAAGGCTGCTCGTATTTTCAGTGGAAAGGATATTCTTTCACCACAGCAGGTGGCAGGATTCTTCTCAAGACTGGCAGCAAGGATTCGAAAAACGTCAGCAACATCAAACGAAGAAAGTGGAAGTGAAGACGAAGAGCAGTGTGCAGTCGAGGCAGAGGCCTTACATTCACACCTAAGGGAAGTTGTCAGCAAAGAAATTGCTTTACGTCACCCCATTGTCGCCCTTTCCCGTAACATTTGCAGTTTGGTTCATACAAAGAAATTATCTACCTTAACAGTTGCAGTGCTAAGGGACATTTGTGAAGATATTGGCTTAAACGTGGATGATATCACGGAGAAACGAAAAAAGCCACTTATAGGTCGTATTACTCAGGTCGTTAAGGAGTGCTCTTGTGCTCGAGTGTAATCGACTAGAACAATCGGGCTAAGAAATTGTAAGCTTGTATCCTGTTATAACACCAACCTCGTTCCCAGGGTTCTCTCCTACCGGGTAGGAGAGAACCCTGGGAACGAGGTTGTTATAATACGTGATTATAACTTAAGTTTTCAGGGAACACGGGTCAGGCAAAATGCAATGCCCTAATGCATCAATCAATTCCAGCTGCACCCCCCCCGTATGTACCGTTCAATGCCGTAGCGGTGACTTCCGTTTCGCCGTTTCGGTAATGTAAGACATTCCAAGATGGCGGAAGGCGGAATTGTGCTCACTTTAACCCTTTCACCACCGGTGGCCTCTTTAGAGGCCACTGACAAAAAGGTACTGCAACACTCGTGGCCCCTTTAGCGGCCAAATAAATTTACATACATTACCGCTCTGTAACCAGGCTTTTTTTAGCAATTGGGGGGCCCAGATATTGCCATTTTCCTAGGGAGGGTTTGAGTAATGCAATCGTGTTTTTATCACCACGCGGTTTCATACAAAGTTTTCGAGATATTTTGTTTTGAAAGTTCAACGAGATAAAAATTCGAACTTCGCCATTTTTAAATGTCTTCGGGTGACGAGAGCGACAATTCTGGATCAGATTTATCATCTTCAAGCGAATATTCTTTCCAAGATGACGATGTCCTTGAAGAGCTGTTCGATAGCGATGAAGAGGAAGAGGATTTCGCTGGTTTTAATTTCGATTTGCCCGAAAACATGAAGTGGGAGAACCAGCGCTTCGATGTAGACATGCAACCGTTCACGTTAACACCTGGTCCGACAATAAACTTACCTGATACTGGTAAGGCTTTTGACTTTTTCTCGTTGTTTTTCACCAAGGAAATCATCGGTAAAATTGTGGAATTTACAAACAAGAATGCTCAGAAGAAAGAAGTACCAAATTGGCAACCTGTCACATCCGAAGAGTTAAAGGCATTTATTGCAATGTTGATCATTTCGAATGACATTATTGTTGTCCCACGCGACGAACGCTACTTCCTGTCATCTGCAGAAGCAAGGCTATTTCACATTCCAGGAGTGAAAAACATTTTGCGATCTCAAAAACGTTTCTTCCAGTTAAAATCGTACATATTCTTCTGCGACCCAGACCACGAACAAACAGAAGAAGAAAAGCAAGACCCCTTATATAAAGTGAGAGGTATTTATCATGATATTGTTCAGAAATTCAAGGAAATTTTTAACTGCTCCCGTGAAATCTCCATTGATGAAGCTATGGTTCCTTTCAAAGGGAGGTTAGCCATAAAGGTGAGAATGCCAGATAAGCCAATCAAATTTGGAGTGAAATTCTTTCAACTCTGTGATTCCAAGACTGGCTATTGCAAGAATTTCTCTATCTATGCTGGGAAGGACGACAGAGAGGCTGGTAACATCGGAAAGACCGGTAAGATTGTCATGGATTTGGTTGCAGATTTGCACAATACAAACCATCACCTTTATGTTGACAATTTTTACACCAGCTCAATTCTTTTCCTTTTGTTGAGGACAAGGGGAATTCTTGCTGCTGGGACAGCAAGACCTCGCAAGGGCTACCCGCATGAACAATTGAAAAGAGCTGTTCTCAGGAAACGAGGAGAAGTGGCATGGCTTACTGCAAAGGAACAAGGAATGACAGCTTTGAGGTGGAAAGACAAAAAAGATGTCTATTTTCTAACTACAATACATTCCCCACCAGTGGTACCAGATTGGGTCGAAGATGACAACTCTGGGGCTGAATCAGAAGAAGTCAGAAATGAAAGTGACGTGGTGTGTAGAAGGGTCAAGCAACGAGGACGCTGGGTTACCAAGAAGATTTACAGGCCAGGAATTGTCAAGTCCTACAATAACTTTATGGGAGGAGTCGATCTCTCAGACCAAATGACAGCAGTCAATAAGTCAAAGAAACAGAAGAGGTGGTACCTTCGCATTTTCCTGAAGATGGTCCTTCTAAGCATTTACAATGCTTACATTCTTGAGGGGTTCAAGCGCTCAGAAACTCCAAGAGGAAGAAGGAAAAGGGATCTATTGTCTTTCAAGGAAGACCTTTGTGTGCAGTTGGTTGGCAACTTCCCACAGCAACACAAATCAACTGCCTCTAACAAAAGAAAGAGGAGTGCAGACACACCAGTGCCTGAACGTCTCAGTAATGTTGGAATCCATTTTCCCTTCAAAGGGGAGGGCAAGAATCATCGTTGTGTGGTCTGTGAAAGAAAGCACTTCTCTTCAAAGAAAGCAAATCCTGACAACCCTTCTCCAAGACACAAGACAACTTTCAAGTGCAGCCAGTGCAATGTTTACCTGTGCATTGGAGAAGGAGGATCAAATTGCTTCTATGACTACCATACTAAAGAAAACTTTGCTAGCTAGGGACAATAAATGAGAGGCACTACATCAGTAACTCAATAGAAGAACAGGTTTTATTTCAGAATTCATTTGTTACAGAGACAAAAACTATTTCTAAGTGCTAGTAAAAACTCACAAATCAATGGGTAAATTTAAAGTTTTTTTACTCAAAAGATGTTGCGCAATGACAACATGACTTTTTTGCAAATGAAGTCGGGTGAGTTTTAGTGTAAAAATATGACTTTTGTTGTAAGATAAATTGCTTTTTTCATCTAAGGTTGTCCTATGAAAAGCATTTTTTCATTTTAGAATATTGTTGGACAAATTTTGGTGGGTTTGTACACATTTCAAGAAGGACCATATGTTTTTTTTTTCAAAATCGTAGGTTATCTCAACTTTGAGAGGTTCATGTTCAGTCAGTTTTCATCCTTTAAAAATGTAAATAGAATTACCTGAAAGAGAATTTTATAACAAATAAAATCATATGGGGTTCTTTTTTGCAAAAATGCTTCCTTCTCCATGAAAATTGCAATTAAAGTAATGTACGTAATCTCGGCAAACAGTACCAAAAACATCTGGTGTTCAGGGCTGTTTTCTGCAAAAAACGACTGGTGGTGAAAGGGTTAAGAAGTATTTGTCAAAAAAGTACGAAAGATCCCAAACATATAAGCTTGTAGATAGTTAAAACTATCCTTTTAAAGAATACCAAAAGGTTTTCTGGTGTGATTCGTTGCGTACCGCGGGCATTTCTGACATGTTGTTTTGACCAGCCATTGCACCAAATTCGAGAAGGATGTTGGTGTGCTTCTTTAAAAAATCATATATTTTTTGTGAGCAGCGTTAGCGAGCTGTTTTGGGAATCAGTGGACTGAAATAGCTTTAGATTAACTGGATATCCGTGAAGACACCTTAAAACAATGGACTAAATGACTCAATAACTTCGTGAAAGTTGGCAATTTTCAAGGTTATTACGACGAAAAATACCGTTTACAGTTATATTCAAATTTCTTTGAAACGAAACAATATTTAGCCAAATAAACCTTGATTTCATATGTATAGTACCTGGGCCTACCAATGTACAAATAATAGGCGAAATCAAATTTTGAGCTCTGTCCGCCCGATCTTTGATCCTTACTGACATCAACTCCTAAGTCTCAGCTCAAAGAGGAATTGGAACGATTGCAAAAGCTCGAAATCCTAGCACCTGTCACAGAGCCTACTCTAGCATGGTTGTAGTAAAGAAGCCTAATGGTACCTTGTGCATTTGCATAGAAGCTAAGGATCTAAACAAAGTCCTGAAATGCAGTCATTACCTATTACCCACCATTGAAGATATCCTGCCAGACCTCAGCCGAGCCAAAGTCTTCAACACATTTGATGTTAAGAACGATTCTGGCACATTGAACTTGACGAAGAGAGTTCAAAACTCACCACATTCAATACGCCCTTTGGAAGGTACCATTGGCTACAGTTACCCTTTGGCCTCTCCTCTGCTCCAGAGGAATTCCAAAGACGCCAATACCAGGTGATAGATAGAGTGTTGTTGATACATGACGACATTCTGCACAGATGTGCATCAAGAGAAAGCTGAAAAACCTTGTGAAACAGTGTCAGGAACGCAATATGAAACTCAACAAAGAGAAGACGAAACTCCGGCACAACGAAGTTCCTTACATTGGCCACATTCTCACAGACAAAGGACTCAAACCTGACCCCCGCAAAATCCAGGCGATGTTGGAAATGACCAAGCCAACGGATGTGGCTGGAGTGCAGAGACTAATTGGGTTTGTCAACTACCTCAACAAATTCCTTCCCCACCTCAGTGACGTATGTGAACCTCTCAGGAAACTAATGGCCAAGGATGCGGAGTGGCATTGGACGGACCATCAGGATCAAGCCTTCCAAAGGATCCCTCAGCAAGCCACTGAAGCACCAATATTGAAACACTACGAGCCAACGGAAGAACTCACCCTCCAAAGCGATGCCTCACAAACAGGTCTAGGTGCAGTACTCACTCAAAACGGCCAGCCCCATGCCAGTAGAGCCTTGTCAGACACTGAGACCAGATATGCCCAAATAGAGAAGGAGCTCTTGTCAGTGGTTTTTGGGTTAGAGAAATTCCCTCAGTACACACATGGCCAAAAAGTTAAAGTACAAACTGACCACAAGCTGCTTGAAGCCATCATAAAGAAGCCTCTCCACATGGCCCTGAAATGACTCCAGCACCTGTTGCTACAATTGTTAGTATATGATGTTACCCTCACTTATAGATGTGGCTGTCAAATACAGCTAGCAGATACGCTAAGTAGAGCATACTTGCCACTCACTGATGCAACACCGTTCGAGATGGGAGTTCAAAGTGTAAACATGGTCCAAGATTAGCCACTTGCAGCAGCGAGACTGGATGACGTCCAAGCCCACATTGCCAAGGATGACACCTTACAAGTGCTAACCAGAGTAATCCTGGAAGGCTGGTCAGAAGACAAAACTGCCATTCCTGCTGCAGCAATGCCCTACTTCAGTGTTAGGGATGAGCTTAGCATCCAAAATGGGATAATCCTTTGTGGAGAAAGGGCACTAATTCCCAAATCACTTGGACATGATAAATTACGGTCAACTCGCTGACGGTTCAACTCACCAACACCAACTAGCTGTGTGTAAAATCGAGTAGAAACATCAGCGAGTTGGTCTTCAATCCAGTACAACTTATCAGACGTTAAACATATAGAAAAGTAAAAGATCTTTAGTAAAAGAAAAAATCGTCCAACAAAGTTTATAAGAACCTCATGGCGAACAAAGAAGGTTAACATCACCAATGACTATAACAGCTTCAGATGCAAGCGAGTTATGTGTGACAACAACACCGTAAAGAGTCATCATGTGAACTGGTCAGATTTTTTTAGGAAAACTTGGCTTTCTAGTCAGGATCTTCATTACAAAAAAATTATTTTTATTTGTAACAAAGTTTATAAAGATCTCAAGGCGAATAAAACAAAATAAACATCAGCTATGACTATAAAAGCTTCAGATGCGAACGAGTTATTGTGTGACAACAACACTGGAAAGACTCATCATGTCAATCGGTCTTATTTACTACTCCGGCCCAGGCCCGTAGGGCCTGGGCCATGAGTTATAAATTCGGCTCGATTTGTAGTTTTCGACACAAATCTGCATTCTTGCGCAATATTGTGACGTAATCCCAGTGCGCTTTGCAGGCGAGCTTTTCCATTTGACAGGCTCGTGTTTCTGTATCGTGCTCAAGCTCACGTTTGTTCAATTCGCTCAAGCTCACGTTTGTTCAATAAAAGGCACTGGACGTAGCCGTTCATTCCTGGCTAAAGGTAAGCTGTCTTGTGTATTCTTTGTTATTTTGAGTTGTGCTGTAGCTTTTTTCCAAACACTGCAACATTCTCTCACCGTCAAAAACAAATAAAGGTTGAATACCAATGAATGCCTTGATACCTTGAATGCCAAACTTACGAAAGTACACTGAATGCCTGAACAAGAATCGGGATTAAGTTTAAACTAAAATGCACTACTTAGAACCTGAATGCCAGAATTCCTATGTAAACAATTTAGAAGTGAATAATGGCTGTAATTGTTGTTGCCCAGAGTCTACATTTACATCTGTACCTGGCAAAGACAAATCTATTTCAATAGAGGGCTGTAGATCTCGATATGCCGAGTTTATCCATGGTCATTGTGTCAAGGCTAGCTGCCATACAGTTCGACGTGATCGTGAACCAAGCAGAATTCCAGTGAAACGGCTCACTCGTGTTTTTAAAAAAAGCAGGAAAATAAGGAGGCTAGTGAAAAAACACATCATCAAAAATATACCGCGGTCATCTCGAATTCATATTTATATAACATTTAGAAGTGCTCGTCCAACTGTTGATTTTAGTTATAACACCCATATGTTTCAGTGGAGATCTGGACACAAGGTTAAACCAAGAAAAAAGCGAGTTTTCGCATCTCACTTTGCTATAGCATCACGCAGAAGAAACCATAAGACTACTAACCTGAAGTTTAAGGTTAAGGAAAATTGTAGATTTCCAAAGGCAGTAAGTAAAGATATTTTAAAAGAATCACGTGTTTATAAGAATTTGAATCATAGGGTAAACTATTGCCAATCACTCCTTTGCAGAGATATAGAAAAAAATCCAGGCCCTGTCTCTGTTGTTCCCTCTCAAACACTTCATGCACCATATTGTCAAGGTAATGTTGCAGTGTTTGGTCAAAAAGAACTATGGTCAAATGGAACCTCCTAAGAAAAAAGCCCACTTAGAACAAAAAGCTGCATATTACAAAAATGTGTTCTGTAAAAAGAGGAAAGGAACCAAAATAAACAAACCTTGCAATAAAAGAGCCAAACAAGTTCCAAAACATCAGAATAAAACCTCTCACAATGACTTGAATCATTTTATTTCAATCTTTCATAAAAAGATTATGGAAGGTCCATTCTACACATGTACTGTATGCAATACACTACTTTATAGAAAATCAGTTACTCAAGTAAAGGAAGCCAAATATAGCACTCGCTTTCTTTTAACAAATAAGAAGTCATTTGATAAAAAGGAATACATTTGCAAAACATGTGACTTGAAGGTTTCAAAAGGGCAAGTTCCATGTCAAGCTGTGTACAATAAACTGCTTGTTGATGAAATCCCTGCAGAACTGGAGTCTCTAGAAAAGCTTGAACAGATCCTTATAGCACAGCGCATTGTATTCGAGAAAATAGTAGTAATGCCAAAAGGCCAACAACGAAAAATTAAAGGAGCTATCTGTAATGTGCCTGTTAATTGTGAACAGACATCCAATATTTTACCACGTCCTCCAGAAAGTTCAGGCATAATTATGTTGAAACTTAAAAGGAAACTCCAGTTCAGAGGTCATGTCTACTTTCAAGCAGTGCGACCCGAGTTTATTGTCAATGCCCTTACGTGGCTTAGGATGAATAATCCACTGTACAGCAATATAGTAACATGCATTGAAAATATTGACCCAAGTCTAACAAAATTTCAAGACTGTGAAATACATGTAAATGCAGGTATATGTACTGACAATGAAATATGCTCTTCAAATCATAACTCTTGTGAACAAGACACAATACAATCTGGTGATGACAATGAAGAAGAAAAAGACGACCCTTTGAATGAATTTAGAGCACCAATTAATCAAACATGCCTACAGTCTGTTATACCAGATTATCCTGTAACTGTAGAGCTAAATAGTAATAATTCATTAGGAAATGAAGTTTACAATATTGCACCTGGTGAAAATAAACATCCGGTGTCCTTTATGAGTGACAAACAATGTGAGGAGCTGGCATTTCCAGTATTGTTTCCTAAAGGAAGATTTGGCTATAAAGTTGAACGAGAGGTTAAATTGTCACCAGTAAAATACTTTAATGCAAGACTGTTACATTGTAGCGGCAGATTTGCAACAAATCCAGAATATCTATTCTTTGCACAGTTCATAATAGAACAGAAGAAAATTTCAGATAGTATTAATATTGCTCTAACAAAAGTTCACGGACAGCCTATTACAGCATCTCATTTAAGATCAAATACACAAAGTTTGCAAAATCTTATTTGTCAAGATCAGGCTTATTTATTTTTAAGACAAATTCCAGGTACACCACCTTACTGGCAAAAATTCATGTATGAAGTAGTAGCAATGGTAAAGCAGCTTGGTATTCCATCATGGTTTATGACATTATCTTGTGCAGATCTTCGATGGTCTGAGCTTTTTCACATTGTTGCTAGGACAAAAGGAATGAATTTAACTGATGAACAAGTTGAAGCCTTGTCTTATAATGAAAGATGTTCTATGCTTAATCTTAATCCTGTTATCACTGCTAAGCATTTTCAGTACAAGGTTGAAACACTTTTCACAGAGGTTCTTCTCACCAGTGCAAACCCCATTGGTAAAATTGTTTATTATGCTCTTCGTATTGAGTTTCAAATGAGAGGCTCTCCTCACTTACATGCACTAATATGGACTTCAGACTGTCCAAAACTGACACATGAAAACAAACAAGATTACATAGAATTTATTGATAAGCATGTCCACGCATACATTCCAAATAGAGAAACCGACCCTCAATTACATGAATTGGTTGAAACATATCAAAACCACAACCACTCTAAAACATGTCGAAAATACAGGAATATTCCTTGCAGATTCAATTTTGGACAGTTTTTCACCAAGAGTACAATTGTAGCAGAACCCCTTTCTGATAATCTACCTGAAGATGTCAAAAGTAATGCTCTAACCAGACAAAAGGAAATTCTTAATTTAGTCAAAGAAAAAATAGATAATGTTCTAAACCCCAATAAACCAGATTATGATCCAAAATTAACTGAAACAGATATTTTTAGTTCTTTAGGTATTTCTGAGGAGCAGTATTACTGGGCATTGTCTATATCAGGCGATTCTTATTATGATTTGCATCTGAAGCGGCCAATAGACAGCTGTTTTATTAATAACTACTTTGTTGCTGGTATTAAGGGCTTTCAAGCAAATGTTGACTTACAACCTGTTTTTAATCACTACAAGTGCGTAACATATGTCTGCTCATACTTCACAAAGGATGAAACTGCATGTTCACAAGCAATCATGACTGCAGCAAAAGAGGCCAAAACTGCTAATTTAAATGTTAAAGATGGCTTGAGAAAAATTGGTGCTGCTTTCCTCTCTTCTAGAGAAGTCAGTTCACAAGAATGTGTATACAGATGTATGCCAGAACTTTGGTTGAGAAAAATATTTCCCAAAACAGTTTTTATCAGTACTGATTTACCACAAAAAAGAGTACGCATCGCTAAGACCCAACAAGAACTTGATGCATTAGACGAAGACAGTACAGATATCTACAAGTCTAATATAATTGAGCGTTACATCATAAGACCAAAATCTGTTTCTACTGTTGATAACCTATGTTTAGCAGAATTTGCTTCACACTATTATAAATACTACAAAAAAGAATGTTCTGAGACAGCTGATGCCCAGCCAGATGTTCTCACGGACAATGTGCTTGAATCTCAAAGTGAAACTTTAAATACTAATGCAGTCCTCCCAACACAAATTAGGTTGATGAATACCAATGAAGTCATGAAATGTAGGAAAACTAGGGCTGTTGTAAGATTTCATAGACCAAATAAAATTAAAGAGCCTGAGAACTATTTCCATCACTTACTAATGCTCTATTTTCCATGGAGAGAGGAGAATAGTTTGCTTGGCAAAGAACAAACATATGCATCAAAATTCTATGAACCTGCAGTGCAAGCTGTTGTAGAATCCACTTGAGCAGTATTTGAACCTAATGCTGATGCTGTCTCAGAAGCACTTGAATCACTGAAGAACAATCAGGGCAATATCATACGATCATATGATTCTATGAATGATCAAGAAAATGCAGATTTGCATTCAGACATGCCAGATGACTCTTTTCCAGAAGAATCATTCAATGAACAGCAGCCTTCACATCTTTCATCTGGAAATGAATCTGATCACCAAAGTACACTTCCCACAAGAACAGTAAACAACCAACCAACAGATGTGTCTGATGACTTTCTGCGTCAGTCTGTAAGATCATTAAACAAAACACAACGTTATGCATATGACACAGTTCTGTCTTGGTGCAGAAGTAAAATTAAAAATATGAACAGTCTACAGCCTGAAGAAGTTAAACCAATATATCTCTTTATAACTGGTGGTGCAGGTGCTGGAAAAAGTCACTTGATAAAAACAATATCACACTGCAGCTAAAACTTTTCGACATGCTTGTAAGAACCCTGAACTACCAACAGTGCTTTTAATGGCTCCAACAGGAGTATCTGCTATTAATATCAATGGCACGACAATAAATACAGCTCTGGCAATTCCTCAGCAAACAAGTGACAATCTACCTGCAATGTCAGACCAAAAGAAGACTCAATAGGCCTTATTCGTATTCCCGGACTGGTCTGGGACGAGTGTTTTGTTTCGCGCGAAAGCGAGGCTCATGCGGGGGAAAATTAAAAATACCCTTTGACACAGCTGGAAAAATACGGAGAAAGTCACTTTGGTTCGCAGTATTTGACGGCAAAATCATGGTTAAACATAACTGCTGTGCATATGGCTGCTCCAACAGCTCTGAAAAAAAAAAAAACCATCTGAAATATCCAGAACTCAAAGGAATAACGTTTCACACTTTTCCTATCGGCGACCGAAAGAAGACTTACGCACCCGGAATGAATGAAAACGAGAGAAGAAAAAGGTGGATAGCTGCTTGTCGTTTAAGCAGTTTAAATGTCACAAGACATACAAGAATTTGTTCAGCACACTTCGAAGGTGGTTTAGGACCCTCAAAGCTTAATCCTGTCCCAACAATTTTCAGTTTCCCGACTCATTTGCAGCCCAAAACCCGACGGAAGCGAACAGATCCAGAGGAAAGGAGACGAGGAGCTTTGAGCTGCATACAAAACAAAACCAAGACTGCACCAAGGAGACAAGCAGGTAAAACTGACAAAAACAAGGAAAACCCAAAACCATTGGGCCTGTCATCACAACTGCAGGAAACTGCGTGCTCGAGCGACATGGATTTTATTTTTTCTGAAGAGTGTGAGATTAAAACTGAACAGACACCTGATCCAAGATCCCTTGCAGACAAGTGTATCCAAACCGACCTTACCTGTGAAGATATCGACTGCATGGAAGCAGCCAAAGCTAAACTGGAAAATAAACCAGAACTGAAGAGAGAAATGTTTATAGACGACGTCCTAAAAAGCAACAAGTCCGTGTGTTTCTACACTGGATTGCCCTCCTATGCCTGTCTTATGATGTTGTTTCCCTTTCTGAAACCATTTGCAAATGCAATGAAATATTGGGACAACAAGAAAAAGGGACAGAGGGAAACGTATCAGGTATCTTAATATTATTACACAGCAGTCTTGTTAATATTTCCTTTCATTTGTTTTGATGAACATTATGGCATAAAATGTTTACACAGCAGTCTTGTTAATATTTCCTTTCATTTGTTTTGATGAACATTATGGCATAAAATGTTTCATGTTTGGTATAAATAGCAATATAGACCCTATGCAAAAATGGGTACCTTTGAATTTTTTTGTTCGTATTCAAAATAGCCTCACTAACCTCGATCGGGATAACATATTCTTTACAAATTTTGTCTCAAAAACGACGTTAGCGAGGCTTTTTTAAATATGAACAAAATGATAATATATGCATAGGGTCTATAACATGATATATTATGTTATTATGATTTCCAACTATGTGATAATTGCCTAAACATTTTGCTTCAGCAACTCAACTGCACGTTTTTACTTTTATTACAGGAAGATGAACATGTTAACAAGCCGGGACTAAAGAGGCAGATGCCATTATTTTCTGAATTTTTAATGGTCTTATAAGACTCAGGCTTGGACTGTTACAGAGTCACCTGGCAGACATTTTTGCAATTTCACAAAGTTCAGTTTCCAAGATTTTTACAACTTGGATTAATCTTTTGTATCATGTATTTAAGGAAGTTCTTATAATATGGCCTGCAAAGGTTCAAATTCAAAAGCACATGCCTAAGAGCTTTAGTAGGTATCCTCGGACCCGTGTAATTATTGACTGTACAGAGTTTTTTATAGAGAAGTCCACTCAACCTTCAGCTCAGAAAATTACTTGGAGTGATTACAAGTCACATAACACTTTCAAACTCTTGGTTGGTATTTCACCCACTGGAGCCTTCACATTTGTCTCTAAACTTTGGTCTGGTGGGGTCTCTGACCGAAATATAACTCAGAAATCTGGACTGATAGACAAGCTGGAACCTCTAGATGATGTGATGGCTGATAGAGGATTCAATATTAGAGATATGGTCACAAAGAAAAAGGCCACATTAAACATTCCCCCCTTTGCAAAGGGGAAGTCCCTTTCAACAAAGGCATGTACAAAAACCAGGAGAATAGCTGCAGTTCGCATACATGTGGAAAGAGCAATCCAGCGGCTCAAGTGTTTCCGAATTTTACGTGGTGTGATACCTATCACCCTTGCTGCAGTTGCTGATCAGACTGTGTTTGTATGTGCAGCACTGTGTAACTTAATGAAGCCTCTTGTTTCAAAGTAAATGTCTAAATAATTTTCTTATGTCTGTATAAATCATATGATTTTTGATCGAACTAAAAAAAAACGATGAGCATGTAACCCCTTACAGTAGCTACTATACTAGGTATAAATGGAATAGTTATGCATTTACATAGGCTCAATGTCACGAAAGGTTCATATTTGGAAGTTGAGTTTCTACATTATATGTATATTTATTTATCTGTACTATATAACACTGTACGGTTCTGACCATATTTAACCTTTGGAAAAGCTAGTTCTGGTAAAATGACCGAGTCAAAAAATGAATCCAGCTTAACTAGCACTGGAGACCAAAACTCTTGATCAAACAACACTTTCTCAACATAAATACCACCATCCCTGCCACAAGCAACAAATATGCCCCAGGGATACGTTGTTGCAAACATTTGTTGATGTAGTTGATAAAAGTATTTATGATTTCTATTAAGGGCTATACCATTGCTTCTTTTTATACAAATATGCTGTTTCAGTAAAATATCTTCAAGGGTTTCCCCTGACTTCACCTGAAGAAATTTCATCTCAACCACACCTGGGCTAGACTCAGACTGATCATATATTATTCTATCTGGAGAGGCACCAATATGTCCATGGGTCTTGCTAATGACAAATCCACACTTTTCGACTTTTATATCAGAATGTCCATTCTGTTTCATGTATTTTATTAGTGCCTGTTCAATTTCATCCTCCTTTGCCAAGCCCTCCTTCATGGCAGCTGTTAAAGGCACTTGGTTGTAACTCAAAACTTCCTTTAAAGCTTTAGTTGGAGATGTGGTTAATTTCAAGCTTGCAATACGTTTACAATGAGAAGCGGTGATTCTTCCTGTTCTGTACTGAAACCAGTCAATGGCATCACTCTGCAGTTTTGTCTTTTTTTCCACTGCATCAATTTCATCATCTGTAAACTGAAGTTTTCTTTTTATTGCCTTGCCCCTTTCTTTAATCTCATCCAGACTGGGTGGCAAAGGTTTCATTGGTGATAAAGAATCTAATGTAAATGTAGTAACAATTGAATTTTCCTCTCTTATGTCATTTACATTTTCTGAATCAAGTTGAGGATGTTGACCATTACATGTGTCTGGGTCAGGTAACAGATGCAGTAATACAGCTGAAGGAACAGTTTCAGCAACAAGCTTTCTAAAATTCTCAGCCAAATTTACATTCGTATCATATGAAGTTCTGGGGTCATAAGTATCACACCTTGGTTTTAGTCGCTTCTTTTTCTCTTTGTTCAGTGTGGGTTTTGTAAAATCCATGGCTGATCCTTTTGTCATGCCCTCATGAGTCCTCTTCCGTTGTTTCCAAGTGCACTTTCTCCCTGTGCAAGTTATTACAACATTTTCTCTCAGTGTAGCTTCAAGGTCAATAAGCGAGGCACCAATGTGCCGGCAAGCACCATCAGCCCTGATCAAGAAATTAGGAATTAAGAAAAGTTTCAACAGATATATTGTGATGACCAGAGTCAAAGTTTTGAATACTAGATAAAAGGAAATTATTCTGAAAGCCATAGAGATCACATACACTTGGGCATAGTATAAAGATGTCTTCAACAATTTGGAAACGAAGTACAAAATTTCGCAAAGCTGCAAATTATTATTTTCATTAACACTTCAACATTGTGTCAGTTGAACAGATCAATCTGGATTTATCATTTAACACATACATAAATCAAATTCATTTTTTAAGATGGCCAAATATTAGCCGAGGCAGCAGAATACACACCCTCCTATACAAGGGCAATGCGCTGTGTAAACTGATCCATCTGACTGAATTATTATCCATCCATCGTAAGTTGGTTTCTGTCCGACTTGCGTTTTCTCTCGTTCCGTTGGCTTTACTCCAAATTTAACGTAGTGGTATCCATTGAACAAGTTCTTGTTCTTCATCAATTTTAACACATGGCCATCCCAGAACAGGCGGTAGCCTTCGAACGACTTATATGCCTTGAGAGACTCGTGGTCATAACCCTCCTTATTGATTAAGTAAGCGTACATATCACCGTATGTGAAGTTCGGAAAATCAGAAAAGTCGGAAGTCCAGTCAGAGTGTAACGTGTTAGGACAGGGGAGCGAACCTTCTTTCGTCTGCAACTTGTTGACTATCACATCCTCCGGTTTCTCCCAATCGTCTATCGGTTCCAGTGAAAGATCGCGAGCCTTCTCCACCAATTCTACTAGTTCCTCCTTTCTCTTTTGCAAAACAGTTATTCCACGGCTCTGTAAATACGATTTCAACTCAGGAACTTTCCATTTTTGAACTTCACTCTCTGCCCCTCCTACGAAAGCCATATTGAAATCACAGATTCCCCCGCATGAGCCTCGACATCGTGCACTCGCCCAAGGCCGTCCGGGAATACGAATAAGGCCTATTTGGCCCAGTGAATAAATTCTTGTAAGCAAGCTAATCTTAATGATATTATAGACGTTTCCATATCTGTTAACCAAAGACCTCCAAATTTTATGTCGTTAACTACTGCTAATCAAGCTATTTTATCAGGTCCATTCCATAGAAAATTATATATAATAGTATTAAGTTGTTTTATAAACTCTTCCGGAGTTGGTAAAACTGAAAACACATATGTCATTTTTGAAAGCAAAAAGGATTTAATTATTGTAATTTTGCAGAGCAGCGAGAGGCCCTGAACAGACAAAGCTGCGAGAGGTCTTTTTTCCATTTGTACTCACCTGCTTTTGTTGAATGAGTTTCTTGAAGAAATATTAAGTCTGTTTTTTGTTTTTTTTTGTGTTTTGTTTTTTCTTTTGTTTTCTACACCAGGTGAACTCTGCATTTTCGAAAATTGCTGAGGCCTCCCACATTAAGAGAAACCAGTTTCAGGCTATTGGACTTGATCTTAGAATTTGTCATTTGTCAGCCATTATTAGAATCATTTATCATGAGAGAACTTATCAATAATTTATTATAATAATTGGCATGTTTGAGCAGTTGATATGTTTGTAAGCGGCAAGAAATGTGGAATTTTATAACACAGAAATAGTAAACACAACACAAACACAAAACATTGCACATACATTGGTTACACACAATAACGAAAGCGCACTTACCATTGTGGTTTTGAGACGCTTTCGCCGAGATCTCCTTTAGACGTAAAAATCAGTTTACATGATATGCGTATAATTACAAGATTTATGCAACTAAGGAAGAGACTAAATTGTTCATCATTGCAAAAATCAGTCAGTTCTGTTAAAAAATATCCAAATGTTCGGCTACTCGTCAGTTGGCAGTTTAAAGGTTGACAACTTTGTAGTGGAAACTTTCTTGTATAATATCTGTGCCGGAACTGACCATGGAATGAAGGTGAATTCAACATCTTCTTTTTCTTTGATTTCTTGTAAATAATCTTTTCGCAGCTACGCTCTGTCATTGTGTACCAACTTCAATACTTCATCTGATATATATATTTGGGACTCGGAGAAAGCTTTCTCTTTAAGAGCTTTAGCGACGGCTTTTAGAATCTTCACTTTATCCGTGTACCTAAGAAGGTAAACATGAATTGGTCGCGGCTTTGGAGTCGCCACGGCCTGTTCTTTAACGTTCATGCGGTGTGCCCTCATCGCCTCGATGCCCTTGATTCCCATATGGTTTCCAAAAAAGTCGTGGGCCAGAAAAAGCTCTGGAGAGTCTTGTTCCTTCTCTGCGTTTTCTCGCAAATCCCATATGACGATATTATTCCTTTTGGAACGGTTTTCAAGGTCATCTATTTTTTCTCAAGTTTGGCCAACTCCATGTGGGATGCTTTCTCAGCAATGTCGCTTTTGACTTCAGTGACTTGTTCTTCTTAATAACCGTAGCTCTTCTTCAAATCTTTAACGTCATTGGGGGTCTTCTTCTGAAGTAGTTCTGAAGGATGGAGTTCAACTTTACTTCTTGGTCGGCTTTCACCTTTAACAAGGCATCCATCTTGGCGTCCATCTTGGTCAGAAGAGTGTTGAATTTGTCTTCGGTTGCTGTCATTTTGCTCTCTTTTTTTGATTGAGACCTTGTTTTAATACTCATTCGCCTCTTCAAAGTGAAAAGCACAAAAAGAAACGCGTTATCACGTTTTAAAAGCACATTTAAAACCAATTTTTAGGAGAGAGCTCGGGCACATCCGTTCATCTTGAAGTCATCCCCAGACCCCCTGCAGTACAGTGCTACAGTACAGTACTGCTGTACTCTTACTGTTGGCCACTGACTTCTAATTCCTTTCAAAATTCCATTTGGTCATCTCCACTCGCTTGCTCAGCACTTGCTTGAATTCTTTGCTTAAAATCCACGTACTCTGCTTCACATAACACCAGGAGTTGTCAAGCAAACTTTTGGTTCGCAGTCTGTCCTGGAAGGGTCACCAAATTGTTACCCATGCCCTATAAAACCACATTAAAGACCAATGAAAATAATAGCACTTCAAGACGTATTTCTTTCTTCAACAAACTCATACATCGATCTTACTACTGTCCCAGATGTAAGTGACTGCATCACACATCAACTGTTACACATTTCTGTTACAATTATTTCCACTTACGTTTATCGCTTGTTTTCACTTTAGGCTCTAACATCTAGATGTTGGATCAGTTCATCAGGACTATTATGCTGATCATCAAGACTACAAAGAAATTTGTGAGAATGAGGAGGTAAAAAACTAGAAGAACTCTTCAACAGTTTTTGTCTCAATTACCTTTTGATGTCTGAATGTCCACACGTCTTTTGGTGACTTTACCATATAATTTTGTGTCATTCAGCTGTTTAAAGTTTCTTGTTCAACCCCTAAGACGTGAACCGTAGGGTTTCCTTGATCTCACACAATCCTCTGAGTTCATTAGACAGATTATTTCTGCAGCTTTGTCTGTTCTGATTGAAGTTCTCCACTAAGTCTTGACGAATTTTGTGCAGGTTTTCCTTGAGGGAAGGATTCTGCGGTGAAAGATTCCACCCTGATTTAACATACAATTTAGTGTAGCTACCTTAAGGCTAAGTTTAAAAACTTGCCTTCCAAGGTCAAATGCATGCTGCATGAGGCTCGTGACTCATTCCTC